AAAAAAAAACTAGTAGATCATTATATTGTCGAATGGCTTTTATTTTGTATCTTTCACTGTAGCCATTGATTAAAAGTATTACACGAAGTTTTTATAGTATTGGCATGAACATGGATGCTTGTTTTATCGATATAAATACATCATTGACTGCACAGGAAGTAAAATATTGTGCAATCTCATCATTTTCATTCCATAAAAGTATCGAAAGTTTTCACTGCTATATCTACAAAACTGAAGGGATAAAACACAATGAAACTATAATAAAAATTTCTTTAGATTGTGTTTCACAATAAGTTTGTTTTCTATTTTCTAGTTTAATGCAAGCAAGTAAAACTATCAATTTAAATGTGCAATCACGAGATTTTCTGTTTCATTTATTGATTGACTTATTTGCATGTACTAAATCAATGATTAGTCCAACAACAGATAAATTACGAACTGCTGTCATAGATATAACATTTCTTCTTTTACAAAGACAACATGTTCATGAGAGTATCATAAAACAACAATGTGACAAATTCCAATTGCCTGAATTTCCAGAAGAGTTTCAAAATCTATTAACAACCATCGATATTATTAATATGTTACTTGATAAAACTAAACAACAACAATATCTGAAACGATTTTTGGAACAATTATATAATGTCATGGATCGAAATTTCAAAATCACTGACAATGATATTCAAACTTCAAATAAATATTTCGATGCATTTGCTGATCTACAATTAATTAGTTTAATGAATGAACATCCATCAATGAATCAATCGTTCGATGAATTCATTTCTGCTTTACCAAATGAATCAACGTCTCATTCAACATTCTATAAAAATTATCCATTGCTAATAAATGTGCCATACGAATATATACGGATTCGTGCTATACTTTTGTCTCAAGTCAATATATTTATTGCAATCACTATATCGACACTTGATTTTAGTTTATTACCAGGTCAAAGTATTTTAGTAGATTATATCAGAATAGTTAAAAGTTATTTATTACGAAAGGTAAAATTTATGTGGCTCGAAGAATCATTATCAAAAACTGAATATAGAACTGATTCTGATGTTCCTGAAGTTGAATTTGATACAATTCAAGCTAGTAATCATGATAACGAAGGAAAAAACACTATGTTTAATCAAGCATTTGAACAATTGCATGAAAATGCTCATAACATATTTCGATCAAGAGATGAACGTTTGTGGCGGGTAAAATATCTTGATATGGATAGTATTGATCAAGGTGGACCTTATCGTGATTCAATAACAGCTATGTGTTCGGATATATGTAGTTCACATTTACCATTATTTGTTTTATGTCCAAATGGACAAAATAATACTGGTCAAAATCGTGATTGTTGGATTCCAAATGTTTTTCCACCGAATAAACCAATTTCAAATAAATTTAAAAAACAATATCAATTCATAGGACAATTGATGGGCATGGCTATTCGTAAGAAACATTATTTCAATGTAAAATTTCCAATTTTATTATGGAAAAAGTTAATAGGCGAAGAAATAACTATGAAAGATATTGAAGAAATTGATATACAAAGTTTTGCAATTATTAAAGAAATGAAAATTAATCTTGAACAAAGTCAATCAATTGATGGTGACAGTGAAATTAATTATTTATGTACCAGTATCATGAATGAACTTCGATTTGATGTTATTAGTTCATCTGGACAAACTTATGAACTCATTCCTGGTGGTGAAAATATTCCTGTTACTCCAAGAAATTTTTCAGAATACTGTAAACGTTATCGTGAATATCGATTGAATGAATTTGGTCGACCAATTGAATATATTCGACAAGGTTTATGTAGTATTATTCCATATGGTTGTTTGACATTGTTTACGGCTAATGAACTTGAAGAAGCTGTATGTGGAAAAGGTGAAATCGATGTGGCACTATTGAAACGAAATACTGTTTATCTTGGTGATTATAATGAAAATTCTCCACATATTCAACAATTTTGGACTATTATCAATGAAATGTTCGATGAATCACAAAAGAAATTATTTCTAATATTTGTTTGGGGAAGAAGTACATTGCCAATACTCGATAAAGATTTTAAATCAAAATTTAAAATTCAAACAATTTCTCATGATGATAATCATCAGATAGATCAAATGCTTCCAAGTGAGTTGCATTGATATCTCCTAATTTGTCATGTATGTGTTGAAAAAGTTTGAGAGATTTTTCTAGTTTGATCGAAAATAAAAAAAAAAGGAAATTGTCGCAGGTTAGAACATATGTGAATTGTAGATTTGTCTATCTACTTATCGATTTATCAGTAAATATCACCTTCACGAAAGGTATCAAGTTTTAGAAGTAGACTAGCATTTGTTCTTTGTTAGACAATTGAAAAACATATATTGATTAAGATATTGTACATTTTGTAACGAGTTGCATCTATTTCGTTGAAATTTTTTCGCTACTATTTTTCTTTTAAAAATCAAATTAAATATGATGTACGAATAGATTTCTTTATGAGTTTTCGATGCCGTATTTGGTATTGATAACATCGAAAATCAGAACATGCTAATTTCATGTTTTTCTTTGTTGAAGAAAAAAAAAATTTACAAACGTACAATCGATTGACTGGAAATTCTGAATTAAAAGACCAAATTTATTTGGAAATTGTAGAATGAAAATTTTCTTTTCTCTATAAATATGACTTGTAAAAAAAAAGACGTAGTTGAGTTTTGAGTTTAATATATTTCTTAAGGCTTTCTTTTATGACAAGTTATAGCATTTCATTTTAAAGTATGTGTGTCATGAGTTTCTGTAATACCTGAATATTCTTTCTTTTTCTGACTATTTTAGGAGCACATACATGTTTCTTCACTCTTGATTTACCTGAATATTCAACAACTGACATAATGTACGAGCGTTTGAACTATGCTATAACAAATTGTTCGAGTATTGATGGCGATGTTGCGATAGATAACGTATCGAATCCAACACATTCAAATGACGATCCACTTTTTGTTGGACAGTTACCAACATCTCTAGCAACACTTATCGGAGGAAATTCTCTCTTTAACTAAAATAAGTTTTATTTGCTATTAATTTTTTTTTTATGATTAAGCTTTTCACACTAAGACAATCAAGATGATATTATAATTTGAAATCGTTTTTGAATAAAGAGAAATTCATTACAAGATAATTTGAGAAGAGCCGTGAAACACATTCGAGGGTATGGGTGTGGGTGGAGTGTGGGTGTGAGTATAGGTAGGATGAGGGTGTGAGTAGTGTGGGTCTCGGTTGTGGGTGTGCGTGGTGATGGTGGTGTCTATTAATCAGATGATAGCGACACCGACACCCACACCTAGACATGTGCACGGGGCCAAAAAAAATTTTCTGGTCCCGGTCAATGATTTGCATACAGTTTCATCAATTACATTCTAAAATTATTGTTTCACTGTGCATTTTGTAGAGAAATGTTTGTTCTTTCTGCGGGTGTGGGTGTGGGTGTGGGTGTGTGGGTGTGGGTGTGTGGGTGTGGGTGTGGGTGTGGGTGTGGGTGTGGGTGTGGGTGTGGATGCGGGTGTGGGTGTCAATGATACGAGTAACATCCACATTCATACCCACACCCACACCCACACCCACACCCACACCCACCCACACCCACACCCACACCCACACCCATCACCACTTGTTTTAAGCTGTTTGACGATATCTCGTTCATAGAAGAACCTATAACACTTGCGATGGTGCACGTAAGCAGAGAACTCATAGCTCCACCTCAAATTTGATGATAAAGTTGGTCATCATAAGAGAAGTAATTATTTTTCATAACAAATGTGGCTAAACATATAATCAGGATGTGAGTGTGGGTATGTTTTTTTTTCTTTTTACACCCACCCACACCCACAAGCGTTTTTTAGAGTGTGTTACAGTCATATGTTTATTCCTGACTCATCGGCATCTATTCATTCTTTGCCGCTTATCCCTTCTATATATGCTCTCTCTCTTGTCGCTTACGTGGTTCGGTTCTGTTCTGTTCTGTTGTTGTTCTCGCGTCGATATCTCGAAATAAACGAACATCGAGAAGGTACACGGAATCCTCTAATATTTGGTGCCGCGACCCGATCTTCTTTACTATTACCATCGAAGAAGAAAAGCTATCTTTAAAAGATTACATTTATTATCGTATTTCTGATCAAGCTACTACAATATTCTACGATGAATTTATCGCAATTAAGTCGGCGTCATCAACAGTTAGCAGAAGACCATTTATATTTCTTCACCGGGAAACAAATTCAAAGCGTTCGAGCATGGTTCGAAGACATTGAGATGGTAGCTAAAATGATTCATGCTGATGAGTCTGTCTCAATGAAACAAGCAATTGGGCTGTTGATCGATGAAGCCGAGCAATGGTATCAGCTAAACAAAAACATATTAACCACATGGTCGGATTTTAAACATGGAATGATACTGCAATTTGATAAGGATTCAAAAAAAAATACTAACACAAACGCTACGATGCAATCGGCAACGCTGATGAAAAAATTTCGGCGCACTATCGCATGGCATCCACAGCACGTCGCACACTACAGGTCATATCACGCTAGTAAATCATCTTCAACTAATCAAACTTCGTTTTGCTCGTCGTCTCCCTCTCCGCTCTTTGAGTTAGATTCGTTTGAAGACTCATGGCCTGATGGAACTCAATCGTGGCACATACCCGAAATAAAACCTCAACGCGAATTATTCATCAAGCAAGCTCATGAAGAAAATTTATTAATCCAAGAAAGAAGCATTGAAACTGAACCCGATGTATTTTGGCCCAATGGTACTGAGTCGTGGCATTTTCATGATATTAAACCACAAAGAAAATTATTCGCAAGAAAAGCTTCCTTTTGTTCTTTAACTGACACAGAAGCATTAGCAATGAAACAAAACGATCTAGTAACCACGGAACAACCATATATCTTGCAAGAAGTGCTGATGTCTAAACCAAAAATCGATTCCACGTTTATAAGTGAAATCACAGTTGATTCACCCGCTTCATTGAATTCGAATATTCAAGAGCACAAACTTCGACAAAAACTCCATACTGGTATTATTTGTCAAGCTTTGTCAACATCGAAATGTAAACTACGACCGATAACAAGTCATGGGTTACAGGGTTCATTTTCGTCTGTCAAGTTATATAACACCTCGTCGAACCAATCATCAAGACTATTTAATTACGACCCTACTATATTGTCATTCATTTTGTTTTCACTTCTTTTTGGATTCAAAATACTTCACTATCCAGCACATAACAATGTTCTCAATATATCAGCACTTATTTACGGATTAATTATACATGTTAAGAGTTTTTTGGTGAAGAATTCAAGAGAATACAAACTTTATTCATCACCATACGTAATAACAGTAGTAATTCTTCGCAAGCTAGAATCACTGTTAGTATACGGCATTACATAATTCAATGGAACTATTCATAACATTATTCGGACACGTGGCATTCGGTATTCGCTCTGTAATTATTTTTAAGACTATATCCAAGAAAAATACGCACAAAACTATTTATGAAAAACATTCTCAATATCATTCTCATCTCATCGTATCAATTCTACGTCATTCATAATCGAACATTTTAAAGGTCTAATCAGCAACCTTAATTTTTAACGCAAATATTCTTCGCTAAATCGTTTTTGCTTCGTCTCTTCAATCGTAATCGTCGAGCGAATCGTGTTTTCGATATGATTTAGTCGATCACAAAAGAGCTGACCGAGCTGAGTCGACATACACATCGCATTCGTTCTTCATATCTCTTTGATATGTTTTTTTTTTCTGCAATGGTATTATACTATCGTTTCTTCTATTCGTTTTATGGCTCTCTATCTGTTATCTTATTACAATAGCCGTTCTCAGTTTTTCATTTCTTATTCTTATATTAGTGTGTTGTTGTTTCTATAAATGTGTGTGGACCCACATTTCTGTCGGTGAGGAGGAATGTTACAGTCATATGTTTATTCCTGACTCATCGGCATCTATTCATTCTTTGCCGCTTATCCCTTCTATATATGCTCTCTCTCTTGTCGCTTACGTGGTTCGGTTCTGTTCTGTTCTGTTGTTGTTCTCGCGTCGATATCTCGAAATAAACGAACATCGAGAAGGTACACGGAATCCTCTAATAGAGTGTTTCCGGTATTTTGACTATTTTATTCGAACGACAAAAGACATAAGAAAATCAAAAAATGCACGTCCCAAATAGTATCTAATATTTTTGTTTAAAAATTTCAGTTCGATCGAACTTAGTATCTTGGAGAAAGGGAGAGAGGTGAAAAGCAGGATCATTTTACGCATTGTCACCCCAATAGTTCATAGAAGATAGCATCCGAAAACTTTGAGTCTGTGACAACTTTTGTTCTACTCATTAAGATCTATCTGCCCTGGAAGTTTCAAAATTCTTTGATGGGCCGATCTTCAGAAATCTCGGAAAGGTGGAGGCACCCTTACAAACGTAGTTTAGTGCCCGAAAAAAAAGCACGCAAGTGATCCATTATTGCTGTGTCACCTATTATATGTATATCCACATGTATACATAGAGTAGCATAAGTTTATGTCAAAAGTTAGATTGTATATTTCTCTTAAAAACAGTTTTAACATAAGAGAAGATCGAAAAATAGAATATATTAATTATTAAAGAATGAATAGATATTATTATTCGTCAACTATGGCTGGTTTTGTCTAATTTTGTTTATATTAACATGAGTTAATATTATGCCAAAGCATTCAAATGGTGTTGTAAAATTTGAGTTAAAATTCGTCGACTTTTCAAATCGTATGGTAAAGCATGAGTATTGCAATTATGAAGCCAAAAATAGACTCCTTTGCGCTTGTTACATTGATCTACATCAGTGAAATATATTATATTTTGATTTGAAATTAATTTCAATTGAGCAATATCATTTGGTGATTTTTCACTCCAATGAACATGTAAAATAGATTGTTGATTTTCATTCATAATTTTATCAATATTTGTCTGTACTTGTTTCAAAATAAATGTTTTCGAATATTTCTGTAGTGTTCTATAATAAAACACACCACGTAGTAATGAAGGATCTAATATTGGATTGAATGCAATTGACAGTGTAGCAAGATCGCTACACATACAAACCATACTTGCTCCCATGGAAGTGCCAATTATTATAACATGCTTATATAATTTAGAATATTTCTCTATTAAAGATCGATAATATTTCAATCCTTGCCATGAATAAGTTGAATCTTGCAAATAAAATGATTGAGCAGGATCAATTAAAAATAATGTGTCCGCCTGTAAATTAAATTTTGTAAGTGTTGATTTCCATTCTGTAAATGTAAATCCTCCAAGAATCGGAGCAACAGCACCAAAACTAATAAATAATGTTTCTGATCTATGAAAACAATCATTTCGAGGTTCAATAATCGTAGCATGATGTGGATGACACTGACATTGTGAATTAGCTGGATTATATGTTTGACGATGTTGCTCAAGTACAGAAAATTTAATTGAAGTCAGTGCTGATATTTTAGCTAAATAACCAAATCGACAGCGATTTTTGGAAACATATTGCAAATAAACTATAAACAATATAACCAACAACACTAAAGTGATCAAAATAGTCAATATTACAAGCAATAATGTAATAAACATTTTGGTTTGACTTGTTGTTTGCTGAAATTTAATATAAGTAAAAAGTGGTGATATCATAAAGAAAGATCAAGATAAATTCAAAATTATAAACATTTAATTTACAAAGCGAGCATACTGATTCATTAACGAATTTTTGGTTTACATATAACTGTAACAAGTCAAACAATAAAGATATAAAGAAAGAATAATGAAATCTATAGTTGCGCTCTCCAAGACCTTGAAGACTGAGCTGACATCGGGTTTACTGACGGAGATATATTATAAGAACTATTGAAATACAAGTAATTAGGTAATATTCATCATATGAGAACAAAAATAGGGTAGTTATTTTAATCGCATACTCCTTTTAATGAAACATTCGCTTTTTCAATAATAAATAATAAGCATCAATTCTCA